ATTTTTCTGATCAAAATTGTGCGTTTGATGTGCTACCTTTTCATTTTCTGGCATAAGTGCACTTTCATTCCGAAAAACATCGTGTATGAAATATAGAATATTTCTCTGAAACTTCTCGATGAAGTCTTGAAGCAAATGCAATGGTTACCACTGTTGCTAAAAAGCAGATTTGTGATTCTAAGTGTGTTTGCTGTCCAAAGACATAAAGAGAAAAATTCCGCTGAAGAAATTCTGTATTTCTGTTTAGTCACTTTCCGTTTTGCATTTGAATGTTTGAGCACTTTTTGTAGGACGTTTTGTGCGGTTTGTGCTTGATATCCGGTACCTCTGCTAAGCTAACACCATGACAGAGGTTCAGCTATACATCAGCTTTTTCCATTTGACAACATGTCCAATAGTATCCATTTCATGCAGCTTGAATTGAGCTGCTCTGGATATTAAAATGCAACTCTCTTATCTTTACTTTCTATGTTTGCAGGATTTTGCTCTGAGACACAAACCAACTCTCTCATGCTCTGTGGCCCAGTTGTAGATTCTCTCCGTTTTAAAACTGGTCAAAAACGGGCAGCTGAGATTTGTTTCAATTACATTTTGTGTATGTTGGAGCTGGAGAGACCAGCGAGCAGGATTTAGTCCAGCCGGTAATTTATGAAGGCATGCATGAGCATTTTGGCTGCTGTGGATATGAGGAATGGATTGAGGCGATCAATATGTTGGAAGTGGAAAAAAACTGTTTTTGCTCAGGGAATGTTCGTGGTGTAGAAAGGAAAGAGTTGCTCATTTGTTGTGCTTATTCTACTGATTAAAATATTGCCTTCCAAGTGCCACCTTCTCATTCTCTGGCGCAAATGAACTTTGATTCTGAATAACGTTTTGTCTGAAATATTGAATATGTCTCTGAAATGTCTCGACGACGTGAAGAGGCGTTACATGAAATGCACATAATATTATTGCTATTATTATTGTTATTATTATTCAAACGCATTATTGAGATTTCAATCGAGTTTACTGTCCGGAGAAGTTTCGAGTCAAAACTCCGTTAAAAAAAATCTGCTGCTCTGTTTAGTTGTATTTTCAATTTGCAATTAAACATTTTAGCACTTTTTGTTGTGTGGTTGTGATTTATGTCCGGTAAAGATGCTAAGCAAATACCACGAAAGTGTTTCAGCCACACACCAGCCTTTGTTATTTGACACTGTTTCCAATATTAACACTTCCTTACACATTAAGTTGAGCTCGCCTGGAACCTAACATCTGGAGAAATACACTTCGATTTCCCAATGGCATCTCCATACCTTTACTATTTGTCTTCGATACAGCACAAACTGAACCTGAATTTATCTTCTAATCTAAGAGTCTAAAATAGAGAGTCGGAGAGAGAGAGAGAGAGAGACTAAGATTCTGAGACACAAAATTTGAAAGACAGACTGGTAGTGTGAAAGACACATAGAGATAGAGAGAGAGATAGTGTGAGAGATACAGAGAGTGAGTGAGATTGGGAGGTAGAGAAAGAAATTGTGAGAGGAAATGTGAGAGATGTGTGTGTCAGTAAATTTGAACGAAACAGATGGAGGGAGATTGAGAGTGTGGACATAGAGGGACTGACAATGTGAGCTGCACAGTGTTTCAGAGTGTGAGAGAGTGCGTGAGATACACAGTTGTGTGTGAGAGAGACAGAATGTGAGCAATGTGACCATAAGATTTCACATGAATTACATTAATTTGCACAAAAAGCTGAACTCCCTAAGTGAAAGGAGCCACGCGAATGTAATTTGTAATATATTGTATTAAACTTGCAGCTGGAAAGACAGAAATATAGGCTTCCTAAGCGGTCAACGGAGGTGTTACATAGTGGAGACTGGATTTCTTATGTGATAGTAATGGTCTCAAATGCCGTCAATACAGCAGGGCTGAGAACTCTCAATTAAGCGAATATTGTGTATTATGGAGCTGTGGGGACGAGCTAGTTGGGCACATTTGAGATATCAGACGAGTTTACTCTCCAGAAAAATACAGATACAAAACACAGCGAAAAAATGCTGCTGTTCCGTTTATTTTTTTAATCATTTTCCAGTTAAATGTTTGAGCCCTCTTTGCTGGGAGATATCCTGTGGTTCGTGCTTAATATCCGGTAAAGTTGCTGTGCTAACACCATGGCAGTGGTTCAGCTACACATCAGCTTTTGACAATTGACACCATGTCTCATTTTCATATGGCTTAATTTGAGCTGGAATTTAACATAAGGAGACATTTCTTATTCTTTTCCAAATAGTGTCTCGGGACCTTTAACATTTGTCTTCAACACTGCACATATTGAACCTCAATTTACCCTCTCATCTTGGAGACTAAGTTTGGGGACAGAGAGAGAGAGGCTGAGGGGATATATAGAGAGAGTAAGGTTCAGATAGACACATTTTGTAAGACGGACTGATAGTGTGAGGGAAAATATGGGAGAGTGAGTGAGAGTATGAGAGATACAGAGAGATATTGAGATGGGCGTGTGAGAGAGAGAGACAGAGTATGAGTCACATTGTGTGTGTTTCAGAGACTGATGAGAGACGCAGACAGAGAGAGACTGGGAGTGTGAGAGACACAATGTGTGTGTGATAGATATTTAGAGAGTAACAGATGGAGGGAGACTCAGAGTTTCAGAGACACAGATGGAGATAGGGAGAATGAGGCTGAGAGTGTACTGAGGAAGTAACATTGGAGGGAGACTCGGAGTTTCAGAGACACGGATGGAGATAGAGAGACTGAGACTGAGAGTGTGATCTACACAGTGTGAGATTGTGTGAGAGAGTGTGTGAGATAACTAATGTTTGTGAGTGCTACTGAGGTTGTGAGCAATGTTACCATCAGACTTCACATGAATTACATTAATTTTCACAAACAGCAGCACCTCTGAAGTGAAGGTCGCTATGGAAATGTCAGTTGAATTATATTGTATTAAACTTACAGCTTGAAAGACAGAACTATTGGCAGTGCAAGTGGTCAAACGAGGTGTTGCAGAGTGGAGACTGGCTTCCTTATCTGATTCTAATATCTCAAAAGCTGACAAGACAGCAGGGCTGAGAACTCTAAATTAAGCATATATTGTGCATTATAGAACTGTAGGGACCAGCAAGTAGGGTAGCTTTGAGACTTCAGACTAGTTTACTGTCCAGAGAAATAAAGATACAAAACACCGCTAAAGAAATTGTGTTGTTCCGTTTAGTAGTTTTTTCCTTTTTCAGTTAAATGTTTGAGATCTTTTCGCTGGGAGGTGCTGCGTGGTTTGTGCTTCATATCCGGTAAAGTTGCAAAGTTAACACCATGACAGTGGTTCAACTACACATCATCTTTTGCCTTTTACAAAATATCCAATATTGACCCTTGCATACGCCTTAAATTGATCTGGTCTGTATATGCATAACTGTAGAGAGAAAGAGAGAGAGAGAGAGAGAGAGAGAGAGAGAGGGATTGTAAGACAGACTTATAGTGTGAGGGAACAATACTTTGTGTTAGAGTTTGAGAGCTATAGAGGGAGATTCTGCTTGGGATTGTGAGAGAGAGACAGAGAGTGTTTTAGAGTCACAGTTTGTGTTTTAAAGAAGCTTTGGTATTCACAGATGGAGAGAGACTGAGATTCTGAGAGAAACAATGTGTGTGTGACAGATATTGTGAGTGTAACCGATGGATGGAGACATAACACAACATGTAGGAGCAGGACTAGGCCATTAGCACCTTCGGACCTGCCCCGCCATTCAATCATCGCTGATCTTCTAATCTAACTCCAGCTAATAACCTGACCCTGCCTTGTCCCCACATCCCTTAATCCCTTTTACAAAAAGAAATCTATCTATCTGAGTCTTGAATGTGTTCAAGGACTGAGCGTTAACAGCCATTTGGGGTAGTGAGTTCCATACATTCACAACACTTTGAATGAAGAAGTTCTTCCCCAACTCAGTGCGAAAGGGCTGGCCTCCGATTTTAAGGATGTGACTTCTGGTGTTTTATCCAACAAGGGGAAACAATCTCCCAATATTTATTCTATCATGCCCTTTGATGGTCTTATATGATTCTATAAGCTCCTCTCATATTCTCCTTTATTCTAGAGAATATAGGCCCAAATTGTTCTGCATACGCTCGTAACTTATCCCCTTGATCTCTGGTAATACCTCAATAAATCTACGCTGATTTATGCATGGCATTAATCAGCAATCGATGCCCTGAAATACTGCGGGGAAGGAAAGAAGGATGTCGCAAGAAAAGATAAAATGTGAGCAACTGAAGAGAGGAAGTAGGAAATACGCCAAAGAAGCTAAACTGAGAGCGTAAATGTTTGGTTTCTCCTGTCTATGTACTGCTACATTTGACACCAGGATTCATTGCTGCGTGCAATCCTTCCATAGTTTTTCACGCGAATCAATGTAATATGCTGTGACTGTGTAGTTGCAGAGGAACGCAAATAAGCAGAATTGTGCACACAGCAATGGAGAAGTGTACAATGTGACACCAGGAAGCACCCACTTCTTCATTCCACAAAATACTCAGGGCTGGGTGTCCAGCTCAGTTCACAGCTCCCAATCGGATCTTTATTCACAGCACTCAAATAACATTCTGCAGTTTCTGAGAATCAGGTTCACGCTGACGGTTTCTGTGCAAGTGTTGCAATAATTCCTGTGAAGGACACCACAGGTCGTGTTCGTTCTGCGGAGAGAGAAAGAGAGAGTCGTAGTCTCTGATTCCATCTCTAAACGTCGCTAAATATACATCTGTAAGTCAAAGTTCGTGTTCCTCTCTTAGTGTGTATGTTTGTTTGTGTGTCTATCACAGCTCAGTCTTTCTGTATTGGTGTGTGTGTGTGTCAGACTGTTTCTCAGTGTGTGTGTCACAACAGCTTTCGATGTAAGTGTAACAGAGAAGTGGATGTTTGGTGATCACAGAGCAGGGTGACACTGTCAAAAGCTTCTCCTGAGAATTACTCCGTGTGATTTAATTCTGCAGAGATCCCTCCCCGTCGGACACAAACGCTAGGTTCCGTACTTCACTCGAGCTCCTCCTCATTCTCGAAATGGAATCATTGTTTCTTATTTTCGGTGAGTACCGTTTCAATGCTCGAATATTTGTGGGAATGCACCGTAAAGTGGGGTTCTGTCGCTCTGTGGTTAGAGCAATCGCCTTGCAAGCGAGACACTTTGGTCCTTTTCCAGGCAGGGCGATCCGTTGGGCAAATTCTACACTATGCGCCTCATAATAATCTCTCCTAAACAAAACAATACTTTATTGCTCATTTTCAATCACCGAATGTTTGCAGGACACGGCTATGTGCAATTGCCAACCGCACTTCGCCCACAAATATACGGTGAATTCACGTTAGACATGTCTCGAAGACATCAAAGCGCTATATCAAATGCAAGAATTATTATTTGTGATTACATCCCATTCGGAGAGTCGTGCCAGCCAGAGAGTTAGAAAGGAGAAAAGAGTGAGAGGCGTCTTTTTTGATCCTCAAATATTCTTTGTATCCCAAACCCGCTCTGCCTTCCCCCATTTCCGCAATATTAACCGGCCCGCCACTGTTTCACACGGCAGGCTGCCGGAACCCTCATACATGCTTCCATAACATGCTTTTATAAGATCCACGATTCTGTACGCATTCCCTCTGCTTGTCCGCCTGACTAAATACTCCCTGTGTCGGCTGCAGATCACCCAGAAACCTGCAGCTGGTGTCATCTCCTCCACCAGTCTCTGTGACCGTATCATCCCCATCCTTGGATACAGTTCACGATCCTGTTACTCACCTTGAAAGCCCGCCATGTCCTCACTCACCCCTCCTTCATGTCTCCCACCTCACAGCCCCACATTGACGGGCGAGCATTTAGCCACTCTCTCACCATGCAATGGGAATACATTCTGCAGTCCCACGCTCTCAACCTTTCCTTGCTTCCTTTAACATAAATCTGAACACTCTTCCCTTTGAACGTGCGTCCGATCACCTTAGTTGTCTTTGCCCTCCAGGCTCCTTAATTTTTTGTTGGTTTTGGAGAGGCGGGAGGGTCGAGTGCAAAAGCTAAGAAAGAAGAAAGGGGACAGTGAGGAGAGAAAGTCATTTCTATGCTTTCCCTCATTAACGCATATGTATTGCTTTATAAATGCAAGATGCCAAAATGCAAGTTGTTATTGTTGGGAAACGGGACAGGAGCTACCAGGAAAAACAACAGCCAGTAAGCACACTTCATACAGAAAGAGAGACACAATCTGCTCTGTCTGTTAAACATATATTTCTCAGTTTGTGAGTGGTCAGCAAATCGCTTCTACTCCAAGCCTCGAAAGAGAAACAGAAACACAAACGGCCCTTGCTCAGAAAACAAAAATCAGAAGTCGCTTGGAACACTCTGCATGTCAGGCAACGTCTAAGGAGAAAAGAAAGACAGTCAACGTTTCGTTTCCTCTAACCTTCGTATGATCTGCTGCCTCAACTGCTGAATGTGCCCAACGACTTTTGTTTTTGTTGTCTGATATCCAGCATCTGCAGTAATTTGTGTTTTTTTCTTTCGCAGAAAATGCCGTTCAGCCCAACCGTGTGCTTGTCAGTCTGTGAAAGTTATCTTTGTTCAGTCCTATTGTGCGCTCTCTCCATTGTGTCTGTGATGGTGTTCGCTCCCCCACTGGAGCGCTCTACAATAATCCCAATCCCTGTCCGCTTTTTCCCGATTGTATTTGCGCTGGTGTTCGCTCCCCCACTCATGATCTTTTTGATGGCGAACTTGAGCGGCTGCCTGTAGTCAAGGAACGATTATGTGACGGCAGATTTTTGAGTGAATTATTTTATTAATAATTCCTGCCTTGATCTTTCTTTCCCTTGTACAGTAATACTTCTGGAGAGAAAGTCTGTGGAATCTGCAGGTTAGTGACACAATCTAACAATCAAATGTTGCTGTGGGAATATTATTACTGCTCCTAAACCCCTGTGCCTTGCCCATTCCTTCTCCATGTCCAGTTAGCTTTTGAATACCTTCCAAATCGACCAAGCTTCATTCTGAAGTATGGTGTTCAGTACAGAGTGAGCGAGTCTGCTCTGAGGGATGTACACTAATGTATAAAGTAACAAAGCAGTAAACCATGGCCATATTTTGGGTGGAATCTCCTATCGTATATAAAGTAGAAGAATAAAATATATAATACAACGTTTAATAATGAAATACGTATTGTAGTAATCTAATATAAACTATGATAATAATAATAATAATCCATGGATTTGTCTTAGAGCCTTATCGGGTCCCAAAATGCTTCACAGAATATACTGCAATATGAAACAGCTGCTTGCTTTGCTGGAGATATACGGCAGCCAATCGCACACAGTGGTGTCTCACAAAGATTCATGGATTGAGTGACCAAATTACATTTTTTTTAAGGGATTCTTATCCCCAGAAAAGAAACGCCAATTGACTGCTGGGTTCCCACTGACTGCTAGATAAACAGAAACATGTGGATAGAGGAAACTTGTGTAAAATTGTGCCCTGACCGTAAATCTAAATATAAAGTTTAATAATCTAACATAGAGTATAGTATTCTAATACCAACTAGAATAGTTTAATATAAAGTATAACAGTCCAATATGATGTAAAATAATCCAATATCAGTATAATAATGTAGAGCATAATAAGATAAAGTATAATATCACTATCCTTTATCTGCAAACGGAGCTGCAACATGTACAGCTGGTACTGCAATAACCTGTTACTCTTATGGTGACACCTGGGTCGTGTACAGCCAGCAAACACTGCAACCAATACAATGATTATTATTGTTGTTGTATTTTTTTAACGCCAAACATCCTCCCAATGTGACAGATTTTCTGTACATGTACATTATATTGTATTATCCTGAGTGACTGGAAGTCAAAACGAAACGGACTCTCAATGTTGCGTATGGTGTTTTACAGAGAGTGTGAGGCTGGTGAATGGCGGCAGCCGATGTGCCGGGACAGTGGAGGTTTACCACGATGGACAATGGGGCACAGTGGATGGCTCTGGCTCTGGTGACTCTGGTTGGGATATGCTGGACGCGGCTGTGGTGTGTAAGGAGTTGGGCTGTGGAGCCGCGCTGTCAGCCTCAGGAGACGCTCACTTTGGGATGGGCTCTGGTCACATTATAACGTATAATGTTCGGTGCAAAGGGAGTGAGTATGCTCTAAGATATTGTTCCGCAGCGACCTGGCGTCACTATTATTGGTCACACTCCTCTGATGCCGGCGTCATCTGCTCAGGTAATTAATTCATTGTCTGATGAATTTCAATGTCTCATTAGGAATTAGAATTAGGGAAATTCCGATAAAAGTTTGTAACCCGCAATATGTCAGTGTATTATTATTAAATCTGGTGTGGACGGGTTGGTGGGAAGGAGTGGGTTCACGCTCATTGCCCTAGGGACATAAATGCAGGTCGCAAACTTATGTTGTCTGCGTTATCTGCTTAGTTAAACAAATCTGTCGATCATCATCAGGTCGTTTTCCGAGTGGGTCGTTTGGTGGGGTGAGCACTGTTTGTGGGCAGTGTTGAGCACAGGCGGCTGAGCACAGGGGACGACTACAAGGGGCAGAGTATAGGGGGGAGTGTGCAGGGTGGGTGAGCACAGGGACTAAGTAGATAGAGGTGTAGCATAGGAGTTGAACATATTTGGGGTCAGCACAGGAGCATTGAGCGCTCGGAGTTAGGTGAGAACAGTTGGGACGTGGTTAGCACAAAGGGGTGCAACATGGGGTTAGAAAACAATGGGCTGAGTACAGTAGGAGTGAGCATAGAGGAGGGATTAGCATACGGTGGATGCGCGTTGGGCCCGGTGGTGACCACGGGGCTTGTAATGAGCACAGTAGAGGTAAACACCGGGGATTTGAGTACAGGATTTGGTTGAACACAGGGTCGGTAAGCACATTGGACATCACAGGGGTGGAGCACAAGGGGTGAGCAAATGGTGTGAGCACTTTCGGGGATGAGCACAATGGGGTGAGTACGGAGGGTTGAGTTGAGTATCAGTGAGCACAAAGGGCTGAGCACATGAAGGGTAACACATGCGTTGAGAACAGGTGTGTCGAGCAAAGGGGGTTTAAGCACACGGAATGAGAATGATTTGGGTTTAGCACGTGAGGAAAACAAGCGGGTTTAGGACGAAGATGTGAGTCTCGTGAGCTGAGCAGAGGAGTGGATGAGCACAGGGAAGGTGGTGATCACTCTGGTTTGGTTAAACACGGGGTGTAAAATGGACGCGTTTCTGGGGATAGCATATTGGGAGAATTTGGCCAGAGGTGTTGAGCACCGAGGTTTTGAGCTCAGGGGTCTGAGCACATCGGGGAGCACATGGAGGTATCAGAATGGGAGGAACAGAGGGAGGGAGCGCACATGATTAGCACAGGGCGTAATAATAGATGGTGAGCACAAGTAGAGGATGACAACCGGAGTGAAGAGCACAGTGGATCACGAGCAAAATTTTGGATAAAGAACATGGGGAGCGCGGGGGTGTTACGAATAGACGGGGAGCACCTGGGGTTTGTGCATACGCGGGGAGTATGGGGTGAGTATGGGTGGGAACACAAAGGTGTAAACCGATGGGTGTGTAAACAGGTTGGGTGAGCAAAGGGTTGTTGTACACAGGATGAGTAAGGATACAAGGGGTTTGAGCAAAACGGCGTGGAGGGCTTTTGCCCTGGAGGAGGCTGTGCACGTTGGGGAGGCTGTACCTTGGATGGCAGCTGTGCTCTGGGGCAGCAGCTGTTTCCGGGAGATGCCTGTGTCGGAATGGGGTTGTGACAGTTGGGGACTGTGCCCTGGGAATGGACTGTGACTGGTAGGGTGCTGTACGTTTGGAGTTCGGCTGTCCATCCATCGCGCTGTGTCGGGTTGGGTGCTCTGTGGAGGGACTGTCCTCTGAGGCGTCTCTGTACCGTGGGTGGGTGGCTGATCCTGTGGGGCTGTGACATTGTGGGGCTTGTGACGTGGGTCAAGAGATGAGCCTGTGGTATGGTCTGTTCAGTGGGAAGTGGTCGGTGGGCCCTGGGTTTGTTTTGGCTGTGAGGGCTCTACCGGGGGGCAGGTGTGGGGTTCCTGCAGGGTTTGAAGTTCGCTGTACCTAGTGGGGAAGCTGTGCCAACGAGGGTTGGTAAGGCAAGGGAGGAGAGCACTGTGCCGAAGCAGCGCACCGATGTGCCTGAGAATCAGCTATCGGAGGTGGGAGTAGTTGCTGTTACCTGGGAGGGGTTTGTACCAGGGAGAGCGGTCTTTGTCTGGATCTGCCTTTAACTGGGGTGGGGCTTCCCTGTGTGGGGTCTGTGTACACTGGGGATTTGATTATTCCCTGTGGACTGTTGCTGTGCCATAGGGGATGTCTTCTGTTTTGTAATGTTGCGACTGTGCACTGTCGGTGGGGTCTGTGCCTTGGGGTGTGGCTGTGCTCTGGCACTGTGGGTGTGGGCTGTGTCCTCGGGGCGAGTTGCTTTGGCCGGAGTTGGGCTTGTGCTAGTATCTGTGCCTGGGTTCGCTCGTGTTGTGTGTGATGCTGCATTGTATGCGTCCGCGACTCCCCCACACGCCCAAGCACACACACACATATATTCAAACAACAAAAAGCGAGCTATTAATGCAAGAATAAAACAACAATATCTGCATCTTTGTATCTGCGAGAGCGCAATAAATAATTGATGTAGAACGATTTTACCTCTTCGGGAAGATCTTGTTTGTTTTAGAGTCGTGGACGTACTCCAGGGCAATGCTTATCCTTGATATGCTACACTTAAAATAACTTTAATGAAGCCCCAAAATGTGATGTGTGGATAATATTCCGCAATGAATTGACGACAGAGAAAATTACACACTATTCTTTCAGTAACACATGCGCATTAATGTGTTCTGTAACAAAGCAATAAACAACTGCCATATTTTGGGGGAATCTCCTATCTTTATATAAATTATAATAATCTTATATAAAGTATAATGATATAATATTCAGTATAATAATATAAAAGCTCTATCCTTCTGTTCCAAAGGCAGCTGCAACGGGTATATGTAGCCGCGGAATGAATTGTTAATATAATTGTTGATACCCGGGTTTTGGACTGTATGTAGCCAACGGTCATTGAAACCATTATAATGATTATTATTGTTGTTGTATTGTTTACCGTCCAGAAACCCTCGCAATGCGACATGCACCTTGTGAACTATTATGTTCGATTACGCTCAATATTCTGCGTGATGTCTTACAGTGATTGTGTGGCAGATTTTATTTCATTTTGGCAGATCGTTTGAGGCTGGTGAATGGCGGTAGCCCGTGTGCCGGGAGAGTGGAGGTTTACCACGATGGACAGTGGGGCACAGTGGATGGCTATGGTTGGGATATGTTGGACGCGGCTGTGTTGTGTAAGGAGTTGGGCTGTGGAGCCGCGCTGTCAGCATCAGGAGACGCTCACTTTGGCGAAGGCTCAGGTCCCGTTGTGACGTGGAGTGTCCGGTGCAGAGGGAGTGAGTCTACACTGAGGGGTTGTCGGTCACATCCCTGGGCTGTTGGCTATTCCTGGCCACACTCCTATGATGCCGGCGTCATCTGTTCAGGTAAATATTTCAGTCTTCAATCATTTTTCTTTCCTCATATTTTCGGCAAACTACGGATCGAGAAACACTGTTAAAGTTTGTATCCCGTAATATGTTAGTTTATCATTAAACCTGAGTGGAGTGTTTGCGCTCATAGCACTGTGATCAATTTTCCAAATCCAAAACATACGATGTCGGCGTCATTTGCTCAGTTAAATAAGTCTATCTTTTAGAATAACCTCGTGCTTGGGGTGAGGGCAAGTGTGAGCGAGGGGATGGTTAGGAGGTCGCCAAAGGGCGCTGAGACCTGTGGTTGAGCACAAGCGAGTGCGTAAACTGGAAAGGAGTACATGGTGCGTAAGCACAGCGTGGGTGAGCGCAGTGGGTGAACACAGGGCAGGGCATCCCAGGTTGTGAGCAACGCCAATGATCGCAGAGTGTCAGCAAATGGTGGTGTAGGACAGCGGTTAACTACAGGGTTGAATACTTGGAGCGATAGCACAGAGATTTGCGCTCAGGGAATATTGAGCACAAGAGGAAAAGGCACACTGGGTTTGGGGTAAGCATAAAGGGCCGAGAAAATTGTGTGGTGAGGAGAGGGCTATAAATGTGGAATAAGCATGGTTCGTTGAGCGCAGTGGGGGAATGAGCAGAGGGTTTGGAGAACAGGATTGCTTAGCACAGGGTGGGGAGTACATGCGGTAAGCTCACTGGAGAGCACACGGGGGCACAGGGTGCGAGCCCAGTGGTGTGCACGTGTAGCATGGTGAGCAAAGCAGGCCTGAGGAGAAGGTGAGCTCAAGGGATGATGATCTCAGCATCTGAACGCATTGTGGCTGAGCACAGTAGGGCAGACAGTGGATGTACTGAGCACACGGAGTGTGGAGCATTTGTGGAGAACAAGGGGTGGTAACCGGGGAATGCATATGTGTTGGTGAGCTTATCGGGAAGATTAGGGGTTAAGCACATTGGGCGTATCACAGAGTTAATGCACATGGGTTGGTGTGAGCACAGGAGGGAAGAGTAATAATAATAATAATCCTTGCATTTTATAATGCGCTTGGAAGGATATCCCAAAACGCTTCACAGAATAGACTGTAAAGTGAATTAACTGTACAGGGTAAGAGGAGCACAGTGTGGATAAGAAAAGGGGGATTCAGCACAAGGGCGAGCAAAAGGATGGGTTGAGCAGAGGGGAAGCGCTTGGAGGTGAATCCTGGGTGAAGAGCACGAATGGCGAGCACAGGTGGGTGGCAACAAGTGGGGAGCAGCGCCCGGTGTGGCGTAACGCAGAGGGATTGTGAGCGTTGTCTTTCTAAATAGGGGATGCAGTCATAGTGGCGTTGAGCACAGGCGGTGGTAAGAGTGCAGAAGTTAAGAGCCCAAGGGGAGGATTAAGTAAAAGTGGTAAGGGAAAAAGGGAAGGCAAGCAAAGGCGGAGAGCATAGTGGAATGAGCACAAGTCGGGTGGTGAATACACGTGAGGTAATCATAGGGCAGAGGGAAGTATAGGAGAGTTAAATGACGGAGTGGTCATATGAGTGGGAAGCATATGGTGGAAAGCAGGAGGATCAACACAAGATGGAAATGCACAGAGTCGAAAGCACACGAGGGTCACAGGGCGGTGAGAACCAGGGGTTGCGCAGACGGGGGGTGAGTACAACAGGGGTTCAGAACAAGAACGCAGTGCACAGCAGTGGAGTGAGCACGTGTGGGGAAAGAAACGGTGGGTGTGTGCACAGGGGCCTCAAAACAAGAAGACAGAGCACAGGCTGTGTAAGAAAAGGGGTGTGGGGAGAGTATTGCAGGGTGAACAGAGGGAGAGAGCAGCGGAAGAAAAGTGAGTACAGGCGATGAGTAGAGAGGGAGGTGAGTATTCTGGGGCTGAGCACAGGGTATGAGCACTGGGGTATATGCAGAGCACCGGGGAGCGGGATGCATTGGGAGTGATCACAGCGGTTTGAGAAAGTTAATTTGAGCATGGGTTGAGCGCATTGGTGAACACTGGGGCAGAAGACAGGGGGCAGAACCAGGAGTGGCACAGGGTGGGGTGGGGGTGGGGCGTGGGAGTTGAGCATATGAGTAAGTGTACTGGCCATAGTGGGTAAATTGTGAATGAGAAGGTGAGATTCCGCACATTGTGGAGTAGGGAAGTTATCACCCATCGCCGGGGGCGGGGTAATCAAAGGGATGTTTACGGGGCGGTTTTCACAGGAGGGTGAGCAGAGAGTGTGTAAACAGGAACGGTAGGCACAGTGGGGTTGAGGACAGGTGGGTAAGAGCAAGTTGTGTAAGAGCACGAGGTTGTTGAGTACAAGTGTGTTGAGCCAAAGGGGGATCAGCAAAGGGAGAGAGCGCAGGGGATTGAGCACAAGTGGGGTGCTATTAAAACGCGAGGTATTCACAGGGCGGGGAGAAAAAACAGAAAAGTGAAATCAGGGAGTGATTAACGTCATAGACCAGTTGGGCCGAATGTTTCTCTGCTGTATATTCCAATGTATTCTCAGGCTTACCCAGTGTCACAGCTTCCCTCCTAACCCAATGTGACACATCCTCGGCTAACCCATTGTCACACAGCATCTACTTTCCCAGGTTCCCACCTCCTCTGCTATACGTGTGTCACACCCTCTCTGCTAACCCAGGGTCACACGTCTGCTGTTTGTGATGGTACAGATTGTGTTAATTGCACATACGCTTGAAGTTGTTGCTGTGGATATTGTATTGTATGTACTTGGCAGGAGGTAACCCACCCAAACTGGTGAATGGAGACAGCCGGTGTGTGGGGAGAGTTGAGCTGTACTACTATGACACTTGGAGAACAGTTTGTGGCGAGACGCTGAACATGGAGATGGCAGGATATATTTGTAACTATTTGGGATGTGGATTTGCTGTATCAGTCTCAAGTAAGGCTCGCTTTGGAGAAGGATCGGGGTCTGTGGTTGGTCGGCCTGACTGCGGACACGGGCAGGACGGTGGCATATTCTGTTCAGGTATAGACCACAACTGCAACAACGTGCCATTGATACGGGTGGAGTGTAGGGCCAATCAAATTTAATTTGGGGATTGTTGGCAATGGCAACAGAAAAAGAATCCCTTCGGTTATTGAATATCGTCATGAGATTTGTTACCACTACCTGAACAGGCAGTCAAGGCTATAAGAAACTCCAGCTTACAGTGTCCCCGAGCTCACACTGTCCCCGAGCTCACACTGTCCCCGAGCTCACACTGTCCCCGAGCTCACACTGTCCCCGAGCTCACACTGTCCCCGAGCTCACACTGATCCAGAGCTCACACTGACTCCGAGATAACACTGACTCTTCGCTCACAGAAAGACATACCCAAACATCAAAAAATGTTTCAATACGGAAGAATGGCAGCGTCAAATCAAGACACGTAGTCGGAACCACCCACATTTCTGCCTCGTATTAAACCGCAGAGAGAAACAGTCTCAGAGGGTGAGGCTGGGCTTATTGTCGACACTGATGTTCACTGTCACAGATCAGATCAGAGTGAGTGTTTGTGAGATTACCTTTACTGTGTTTTAATTTCAGATCCACTTCAGAAAGCCATCATTTCCCTGAAGGCAGATTCCCCGTTCTTTGTGAGAGGGGAAAGCGCTCAGATCTCATGTTCTGGGAATTATCCAGGCAGCATATTCTCTTTATACATAGACGGCAAGTTTTTCACATCACTGACAGCTCCGGAAAACATCCAAACGGCAAATTTCACCCTATCGGATTTCAGTGCAGGAAATTACACGTGTAAATATACTACACATATAGACGGACGAAAGTTCACATCCCCAGAGAGCGAACGAGTGGGAATCTATTTGTGGGGTAAGATCTGAGTAAGATTTTACATAGTAACCTGTTTGTGTTTCTCTCACGAATCTGTTAAATGGCCGTTCGTTGCCGCTGGTTTATAGTAGCCTTGATCACAGATCCACCCTCCAAGTACCACTGTCCCCCATCCTTCAACCCCACCCATCCTAACACATGTACCAAACGCTCAATGACACAAGTCTACTTCAATTCCTCACTTTCCCCCTTAATTCATTTCACACTTCCTGTTCCACAACCCTTCATTATTTCTATTCATCATCCGCACGTACATTCTATTCCTTCCATCCCCACCCTCTATTCCTCCCAAACACTGAATCTCTCCCACAGCCGCACTCCCTCCCACACCTTTTAATCTCCTCTCCCTCCTGTGAAAGTCTTGCTGCCTCTTGATTGTGTTTATACTGTCTGATACCAATCCCGTTTCAGTCAATGATTCCCACCATCTCACTCCACTGAATGTGAAGTCGTTGCACCTAAATGTTCTGTTTGTTCCCCTGGATGTGATCGTATCCTGTTATTTAAATACTTCTGAAGGTCAGGTGAGTTGCTGTCTAAATTCCCGGTCTCACGTCCCTGGCTATAGCTTTGTAGTACACCAGACCACGGCCTCACTGCTCTCCATGGCCACACCTGTCCTATCCGTTGACCCCTCCCTAGGTTTAAAGAAACATATGCTCGGTCCTGTCCTGTACCTTTCGCTTAACACTTGCCTCTCCTGCTCTTCGTAATGCTTCCTTCAGGCTGAGAAATAAGCAACTGGACAGTTTTTTTCTGAACAGAACTGTCTTCATGTCACGGAGCGAGTGTTTGTGAGATTATCTTTTCATTCCAGAACCGCTCCAGAAACCAACCATTTCCCTGAAGTCAGATTCCCGGATGTTTGGGAGAGGGGAAAGCGCTCAGATCTCATGTTCTGGGAATTATCCAGGCAGCATATTCTCTTTATACATAGACGGCAAGTTTTTCACATCACTGACAGCTCCGGAAAACATCCAAACGGCAAATTTCGCCCTATCGGATTTCAGTGCAGGAAATTACACGTGTAAATATACTACACATATAGACGGACGAAAGTTCACATCCCCAGAGAGCGAACGAGTGGGAATCTATTTGTGGGGTAAGATCTGAGTAAGATTTTACATAATAACCTGTTTGTGTTTCTCTCACGAATCTGTTAAATGGCCGTTCGTTGCCGTTGGTTTATAGTAGCCTTGATCACAGATCCACCCTCCAACTACCACTGTCCCCCATCCCGCAACCCAACCCATCCTAACACATGTACCAAACGCTCAATGACACAAGTCTCCTTCAATTCCTCACTTTCCCCCTTAATTCATTTCACACTTCCTATTCCACAACCCTTCATTACTTCTATTCCTCATCCGCACGTACATTCTATTCCTTCCATCCCCACCCTCTATTCCTCCCAAACACTGAATCTCTCCCACAGCCTCACTCCCTCCCACACCTTTTAATCTCCTCTCCCTTCTATGAATGTCTTGCTGCCTCTTGAATGTGTTTATACTGTCTGATTCCAATCCCGCTTCAGTCAGTCATTCCCACCATCTCACTCCACTGCGTGAAGTCGTCGCTCCTACATTTTCTGTTTGATCCCCTGAATGTGATCGTATCCTGTTATTTAAATACGTGTGAAGGTCAGTTGAGAGTTTTTTGAGAGCAAATTTTCTCAATCGTCCCTATGCCAGCTCTTCTGAAGCAGCTAACCAATTAAATCCCAATCCCCAACTCTCTCGCTACAGCCCTGGATAATTGTCCTCCCCAAACAGGTATCTTATTTTACACCCTCTTTACACGAGATTTTCTGCATTGCTCCCTTCCTCCATCAAATTGACTCCCTCACTTCCAACAACACACAAACTTCCTCACATTCGCTGCCTCCCTCAACCTCTTTTCCACCCTCGCTCCCAAACCCTGATTCCCTCGCACAAACTCATTGCCTTCCACAAACTATGTTACTCCCACAACGTCTTTTACGCCCCCCAAACTCCAGATACCTTCCAAAGCCTCCTACTCCCCTGTCGCTCATTGCATCGCACACACCCACTGCCTTCAAAATCCCTTATGTTCCTCTCATCATGTGGAGGTGTGATTAGGTCTGGAATGTATCTAGACTGTGTGATTTAATCCTTGCTTCAGTTAGCGAGTTCCACAATGCCACTTCCCTCTGTGTGAAGTCGATGCTCCAGGATTAAGTTTGATCCGTTGGTTGACATCCTACGCTGTTGTTTAAAACACGGCTGAAAATCACACGAGCTGTCCAGATTAAATTCTCTCCCGTCTCATGCTGGAGCTGTTACTTAGTTGCCCGGCCTCACTGCCCTCCGTGGCCACTCCGCTGTCAGCCCTTGTGCCCCCTGCCTCTGTGTAAAGAAACACTTGCTGGAATTTGCCCTTAAACTGCCACTCAAAATCTTCAACTCTTCCAGACACCTTCACCACGCTGGGAAGAAGCAAATGGTCCTTTATGCTATTGCCTGAACCGTGTCTATTCACAGAGCGAATGTTTGTGAGATGGTCTTCACTGTGTTTTAATTCCAGATCCGCGCCAGAAAGCCAAAATTTCGCTGAAGCCAGATTCCCGGGTGTTTGTGAGAGGGGAAAGCGCTGAGATCTCATGTTCTGGGAATTATCCTGGCAGCAATTTCTCTCTGTACAGAGATGATGCGTTTATCATATCACAAGCAGCTCAAGAGAATAAGAACACGGCAACATTCATCCTATCGGAGATCAGTGCAGCAAACTACACGTGTAAATATACTACACAAATAGACGGAGGAGTGTTTACATCAATAGCGAGCGAGCGAGTGGGAATCACTGTGCGCGGTAAGATTTGGGTATAATCTCACACAGGAATCTACTTGTCTTCTGACCTTTTACAGGAGCTTCTTTTCTAGTCAATCTTTATATCATCGATCATAAGTCCACGTTATCTCCTGCTCTCAGTTGGATTGCTTGACCCAGGCTGCAACAATCCCCGCGATAAAACAGTTTCCAAACCCAAACTCCCGAGCCTTCCCTGCACAGCATATCTGGGCTGTAAACTCTCTCTCCTATCACCAGAGGAAAGCGCCGCTGCTGACCTGATATCCGTTACTTCGCGATGGTTTTGCCGTGCGACAAGTTTGGGCGGACCCCAGATCTTGCTCTTGCACAACAGCTGTTACTTACCCGACTACCTCACACATTGACCAAGATCGTGTAGACTATCCCTTCTTGTCAAGAAGATTTCAAGATCCTCATTCTCACCTACAAGGCCATTTACGGCCTTGCTCCCTCCTACCTCTCCAACCTACTATCCCCCTACCTACCTGCCCGTACCCTCCGTTCCTCTGGCTCCGGTCTGCTCCACGTCCCCCGCCCCAACCGCCCTACTATCGGTGGTCGGGCCTTCAGCCTCTCAGCCCCGAGGCTCTGGAACTCCATCCCCCAGTGCCTTCGCCTTGCTTCCTCCCTTTCCTCCTTCAAGGCCGGTCTCAAAACCTTTCTCTTTGACCGTGCCTTCAGCTCCCCTCTCGACTCTCTTCCTCCTCCTCGCTCCCTCCCTTCCCTCCCCTCACCCTGACCATTCCCCCTCCTCTCTCCCTCCCTTCCCTCCCCTCACCCTGACCATTTCCCCCCTGCTCGGGTCATGACCCAACTGTGCAGCGCCTTGGGACGTCCTCCTGACGTGAAAGGCGCTCTATAAATGGAATCTTGTTGTTGTTGTTGTTGTTGTTGTCCCGCAGCATACGAACAAGATGCTCACGCTGACTTGTATTTTTAAAGCCAACGTAGAAATAATCCGGCTCCCAGTGGCCGATCTGCTCCTCAACTTGATGACGATGAGCCAGGCTGGACTGCTTTGTTATCCGCAGTTCCCTGGAATACTGGGACATGCCTGGCTCATGGAGAGGAATGGGGAACACCATGAAGTGTGGCCTCGATTCCAATCTTCCGCAGCTTGGCTATTCACTTGCGCAGCACCAGAAGAGGCCCTACTTAGCTCAACCTTCCCAGGATCAGGGGTCGAGAAGTTTTCTCTTGAAGACAGACGAGGGGAAACTCGGCAATTTTCATTGCAAAAGAGAAAAGATTTCCTTCTTTTGCGCTTTCAAATCAGGAGGAGATGAGATCTCAGCGATGCCTTTAAAATAATGTGTTTTCCCCGCATATTTGCTCTTCAAAGTCGACAAATTACTCTGGTCATTTCCCTCTCTAGCAAATTGGACCTGGAAGCACATTACAGGACTCGCTGCGGGGATTGTCGCTGCGTTAATGATAATTGTGTTACTACTGGGAATCAGTGAATATAAGAAAGGTAAGTGGCCAATAATATCAGTGAATATGGCTTAAAGTTATTGGGAATAAATAATAATATTAATAAACCTTGCATTTGATATATCGCTTTTCCCGTCTTCTCGAAGTCCCAAAGCGCTTCACAGAATATGCTGTCAAGTGAATTTACTGTATATTTGTGGGCGAAAAGAAGGAGACAGGAAAGTATATAACGACTGTGTATTGATATTCTGCGTGTCAATGAGTGCAGATGGGGACCTGACAACAAAGCTACCAAACAGTCATTCAGTCTTTATCAAGTCATTTATTGTTGGGACAGATTAGACAGCACCATGGATCTGAGTTAGAAAGACATGTCGTTGTTTATGTTAGCCAAATTGGCAATGAGTTTTATCCTTAACTTTGAGTACTTGATAATATCGATGTTTAAAGGCTGTCGACAATGATCCTTTTGGATTGAGATAATTACTGTCAATATCCAGTGCAGTACCCAACTCTTGTTTCCAAGTCTTTGTTCCCAAGTTCTTCAGCCTGTACGCACAGTGAGAAAGTTGAAACGTGGTCCTGTTTTTCTGATCATGTGGACATTACAGTTCCTGCAGCAGCATTCGAAAAGAGAAGGGAGAAGGGAGAATCCTGGCCAACAATCCCCAAAATAAAATGGATCAGTCACTTCATGTCCGCTTTTGTTACCCACTTGTGTGCAATGGGCTGCCGCATTTCCTTAAAAAAGCAGTCACTACACTTGAGTGCAATGTTTGTTACACAGAATAACAATAATAATACTAGACACGGTTGAAATAATGGGTCTTGTGATGTGAGGGTGGGAGCGAGAGCTAAATCAGATGGAAACGGATGTATTTACAAATAGCGTACCGATGTGGCTGAACGCACGTCCATGCATGGTGGTAATAATGGGAAAGGGTTTGGGTAGCCCTTTGTAATGGGTTTGGGTAGCCCTTTGTAATGAAACGGTAATTATGCTATGAAAGGGAGAATTATTGTTAATATAACCACAGCAATACACAACCAATACTAATCATTATTTGACATGCGTTACCCTTTGCAATTACAGGTAAACAGAAGAGTTCAAGTGGGGAAAGGTGAGAACATTTCACCGCTATTTCATTCTTTTTCCCCATCCTGCTTGCACAGGTGCTTCCACCCCGACTGGAGCTCTCTATACTCTTCCCATTCCTCCTCTCACGCCATCCTGTCTGTGGTGTTGCTTGCACCCCACTGGAGATCTCCAATTTAATCCCATTCCCTGCTCTCTCTCCAAAGTGTCTGCACATGTGTACACTCCCACACTCATTGGCAAAACTCGGAGGGCAGAAAAGATATTGGGGTTAAGGAATCCTCCTACTCATCTCCTGCTACACTGCAGAACAAATCACTAATGGGTAGAAATTTCCTAACTCGAAAAGCAGAGGAAGATTGCAAGACGTAGCTCCCTATAGCAAGCCGTGTGGTTTTCGCTGGTGGGATCCCAATTCATACTTTTAGGTCGCTAAACCCTGATTCTAGCCAGATTGTGTCTAAACCACAGAGAATTAGGTTGGCAGACATAATGCGTATCAATTAGAAAAACAGGAATTGCCTTCTGTTGGAGGCATGACTGGAATTCATCGTGTGGTATGGATACTCCTCACCATGGTGATGGGTTTCCACACAAACCTCAGACAATTCGCTGCTAACCCAAATCGTCCCGCATCTCCTCGCTTCACCCCAGATGAGTGTCAATGTTTGGTCGTTAGCTCTGTTACAAGCCTAGGACTGTGCACCGCAATCCTCCTCAGTGAAAGAGCAGAGAGTACGTCGTTCTCATCTCTCTGTTTTTTTTCGCAGGAACGTACCCACGGGAGGCGGACCTGAACCCAGCAACGTCACCTGTGAGTGAGAAGTTTCCTAGGTTTGAGTCCTGAGTGAAAAGAGCTGATCACAAACTCGTCTGGTCAGCCGGTGGCCCGAGACCCACACAAAACCAATCTCTTGCTCATGAGCCTCCCCCAAACCAGAGGCTATTGATTCCTTGCCCTCTTCCTCTGAATTTGTATCTCCCCTTGTGCAGTCGCCTTCTTCCTTCAACTCTCTGGGTGTCTTAATGTGTGTCAATCTGTATATCTGCCACTCTCCTTCTCTCTTGGTCTGTCTGCGTTCCTATCTGTGTTTCTGCCGCATGATTGTCTGTGTGTCTGACTGTCAATCGCTTGTCTCAATTCGCGACACTAAAAGTTTTTTGTCTTTCAGAAGAGACAATATACCGACGTCCCTTCTGCCCTTTCAGGGGGACATTAAAGAACCCCCGGCCCAATTCAAAGAGAGAATCTGTCTCTCATGGCCAACAATCTCTCTCTCTGTCCAACAATCCTCCAGAAAACAATTGTTCACGCCCTGTGTACATCTGATTTTGGAGCTGCTGACACCAATGCTTGCATGATCATTAAAGATTATTAATTGCAAGTTTTTAAGTCCTCAATAATACTGATACATATCATTTCTCTCTCTCTCTCTGACTCTCACGTTATCGTTTGCTCTGTGTGTCTGTTTATCTCCACTCACCTCCTCCCTTAGTCAGTCTGTGTCTCTTGTGTGCGTCGATCTGTGTGTCTGCCACTCTCCTCTTCTTTTGGTCTTTCTGCGTGCCAGGCTGTGTGACTGTTGCGTGTTTGTGTGTCTGCGTGTTTTTTTTCTATGTCGCTGACTGTTTTGAGCCACTTCAAGTTTCGTCCTTCAGATTTTAATATAAACCGAGAAAATGTCGGCCTGTTTAGGAGGATATTAAAGATCCCACTGCGCTACTCAAGAACAGAACCTCTCTCACTCTGCCAACGATCTCTATCTGGCCATCAATCCTGAGAAAAAATCGTTCACATATTGTGCTTGTGAGGCTGCTGGCATGAATGTCTTCCAGGTTTAATTGACATAGTATGCAGTAACTCCATTACACCGTCAATCCTGTGAAGCTCTTTGAGACTTCGCGATGTCGTGATAAGTTAGTTTTTTTCAAATGCCATGTTACCAAAATATTAACTGTGGTCTAATATTTACTGTCAGCATTATCGTTAATAATTATTCACTGCAACCTTTGGTATCCTTAATAATACTATTCAACTATAGTGCAGTTAATGAATTGTGCTGGTGTTAAATACAGTTTCCGTTTCTTTCAGATGCTACGGTGAGAAAGGTACCCCGGTCGGTGCCTCCAATGGTGAGTAGTGAATGCATCACTGGCCTGTGTCAGGGCAGCTTAACACTGTGTCAGCCTTGCTCAGGCCCTGTATCGGTTCAGCTGAACCAGGTATCAGCATACCTCAGGCTCTGTGTCAGCTCAACCCTGTGTAAGCCCAGCTAAGCCCTGTGTCAGCTCAGTTTCTGTACAGCCCAGCTCACGCCCTGTGTCAACAGACCAGCTTTGGCCGTGTGTCAGACCAGGTCAGACCTGGCTCAGCCCAGCTCAGCACTGTGTCAACCCAGCTCAGCCGTGTCAGCCTAGCACACTCCAGCTCAGGCTCTCGGTCACGCTGTCTCAGCCGGAAGCACTCGCGCTTGAGCTATAAATATATGGTTTTATCCTCAAAGTCGGGAATTTGGCAATATTGAGAAAGGCAAGAGGGAATCTTCCCTTGCACTGGCCGTTAACATTTTTTCGCTGAGTTCAGCAAAATAATAATAATCCTTGCATTCGGTATAGATCATCTTACATGATGAGGACGTCTCAAAGCGCTTCACAGGTTTTACTGTCTTGAAGTCTGACTGGGTATATGAGGGACGTTTCTGTGCACAACTCGGCTGATCCTTTTGGTTATGGTCATAAACTTTCCACCAATTATAATACATGTTGTTAAACACTTTCAGCCGTTCTCTCAACGTGAAAAACTTCAGAACCATGTGCTTGTGTATCTGTCTACGTGATTGTGCTTTTCTGTGAGCGCATGTTTCTGCCTTTTTGGAAGTGTCTGTGTGTGTGTTTGTTTGTGTGTATACGTATGTGTGAGTCAGAAAGAGAGTCTCGATGTCTGTGTGTGTCTGTGTTTAATTTCACGTTCAAACAGCGTCGTTCATCTCAGAGGAGTTTCTTAAACGCAAGATTTTTATCATTATTGTTGGCTCCGGTTTATTTACGGGCGGATTTATCACAAAACTTGATTCCACTTGCTGGTAATTTAACATGTGTAGTACTCCTGGTGTGGGGAAGGGGAAACAAACACCCTCACACACTGGAGATATGAGTCGGAGTCTCCAGGAAGGGGTGGGTGGGTGGGGGAGGGTTTACTCCCAATGACCTTCTGCAGATATGTTGAGTGTTGCCCTGATTGCAGAATGCTGACATCATCTACGCTAATCTGATGTTGGGAAACAGGATTGAGAATGGCCGTGAAAACGGTGAGAATGATGGTCCAATCTACGCCACAGTCAGAGTGTAGCCCGGAGGCCGGTGGCCATCTCCTCGCTCCAGCTCCTCATCAGCAACTATATTCAATACCAGCTTCAGTTTGACTACAACGCGTCACTCACGGCACTTGTCTCCCTGACATAGGTGGAGATTGAGTCACAGAATGAGATAGAATGAGTGAGTGAGTGTGAATGAGTTAGAGAGAGAGACTGAGTAAGATATAATGAGACTGAGGGTGAGAGACTGAGCGAGAGATTGAGAGAGGTACTGAGTGAGAATGAATGTGAGAGAGTGATTGAATGAGACTGAGTGTGTGTGAGAGAGAGAGAGAAATACTGAGTGAGGGACACAGTGAGAATCAGCGACTAAGAGAAAGATAGCGAGAGTGAGAGTCTGTGTGGTAGAGGGTGAGAGAGTAAAAGAGAGCAGGGCAGATTGTGAGAGAGATGGAGAGACAAAGGACGAGGGGTGTGAGTGAAAATTTGAATCAGAAATGTTAGTGCTTAATTTACTGGATGGCCCAACAGTGAGCGTGTTTGAGAAAGAGCGATTGATAGAGAGAGAATGTTAGGGGGGATCGGGAAAAAGTGGCCAAGCAGAGATAAAGTGATGCAGAGAGAGTGTGAGAGGGGACAGAAAGAGTGCGGGAGGGTAAGAGGGGGAGTGAGAGAAATCAACTGAGAGCAACTGGAAAAGAATGCTTGTGTGAGGAAAAAGTTATTGTGCGATTCAGAATTAAGAGGGCGTTTGAAGTACGAGAGAAGGAGAGAGCAATTGAGTGAGAGAGAGTGTCACACAGAGAGAGAAACAGGGCTGACAAGGAAGGAGAGAGACGGGGGTAGGAGAGAGCGATTCGGAGGGTGAAGGTGAGCGAATGATTGAGAGACCGATTATGATGGAGAGCGGCAGAGAGAGGGACAGAGTTGGGGAAACAAACAAGGAGGAACAGAGCAGAGAGAGTGAGAGATGGCAGAGAGAGTGTGTGTGGGGTGGGTGGTGGGGGGTTGGGGCGATGCACGTGGGAAGCGAGGTATTGAGAGACAGGAACAGAAATAGGGAGAAATAAGGGAAAAGAGAATGAGAGGACAAAGAGTGAGGGAGAAGGGGGAAATGTGTAAAAGTACAGTGATGTAACCGTCTGTGTTGTATAATCATAATCAGCTGATGGGAACCGTAACGCGAGCGTTTCCTATATTAACGTAAATGTATTGATCCGATCAACTCATTGCAATTAATTATAATATCCCATATTCAGCGTAAATTTCATTGATGAAATGTATCAGTTACATTAGGCGTCAGCTTGGCAATCTTATATTAAATTTAACTACTTAAAAAGAAATGTGTATCAATTCTTACTTCAGCGCAAGGTCATGAAAACGTAAACCAGACTGAAAACAGCTATCAGTGTGAGAATGCGTCGTCACCATGGTTTTTTTGATGAACTGGTCATTATGGTGTTAGTGCTGGTCACTGTGACAGCGAGGAGCTGGGTGTGGTTGAGGTTGGAGAGGGGCTGGGTGTGGGTGATAAGGGAGATTGGTTGGGTGTTAGTGAGGATGGGGAGGGGCTGGATGTGATGAAGGAGGAGGGTCTATGTGTGGATGAGAAGGGAAGGGGCTGGATGTGGGCGAGAATCGGGTGGGGCTGGGGCTGCCTGAGGATTGGGCGTGGCTGGTGCGAGTGAAGATGCGTTGGAGCTGTGTGTGAGCGAAGATGATCTGGAGCTGGGTGTGAGTGAAAATGGAGTGGTGCTGGGTGTGAATAAAGATGGGTTGGAGATGGGTGTGGGATAGGATGGAGTGGGACTGGGTGTGTGTGAGGATGGGGTGGAGCTGGGTGTGAGTGAAGATGGGATGGAGCTGGTAGTGAGTGAAGATGAGGTGGTGCTGGGTGTGAGTAAAGATGGGGTGGAGATGTGTGTGGGATAGGTTGGGATGGGAGTGGGTGTGGGTGAGAATGGGGTGGGATTGGGTGTGGATGAGGACGGTGTGGAGCTGGGCGTGAGTGAAGGTATGGTGTGGAAAGAAGGTGAGGATTGGCAACAAAAATATACAACAACAAATTACAGTTTTGTAGCGCTCTTCACGAAGCAAAGACTTCCCAATTGATCCCCTGAACGGCCACATATTTCCAGTTTCCGGGTTCCCCAAATCTGACAATAATTACGCACTGAATGGCGGGAATTTAAAATGCTCCCAAGTCCAGGCAGACAGGAATGGCTGGAAGGCCTGCAGTTACAAGCACATGCCCAGCAGGTAGTGGTGTTGCACTGTAACTCCTCCCTGTGTACTCTGTACAACATCGCCACCCAGAGGCTGACCTCGGTATTACAGCTCCACGGAAATCCACTTAATAAATTCATACGTTTTCAGCGCAACAGCAAATAATCTGCATGTAAATAGACTTCTTCACGTAGTATCACGAATCTGAGCTGTTCCTCAGTAGTTTCTTATACCTCAAAATACATTCTCATTCCAATTTCAGCTTTATGTCAATAAATTGTTGCCCACTGAATCCAATTTCACTAATTTTATCGCTCATCCTCTCGGTCCGGTGATCACCATCTAATGCTGGAGAGCGGAAAGGCAGTACAAACAATTCATCGAGTCCTCGTATCTCTTGATGATTGTTGTGCATCAGATGATTATATTCATTCACTGACTAACAGTGTTCAAATTAAAAATAAAAACATGAAATACCACATTACTGCCTCAAGAGTTTTTTGTTGCACAGTTTAACTTCCTGTAATGATCTGACTAATATTTCACTTCCTCCTTGAGTCTCCCTGTATCACTGGAGGAGTTGTTATGCAGCTTACTGACGAATGTCAAAATCGAGACAGCCCTCTGTGAGTATTTCCCAACCGGTTCCTTAACAGGCGTTTCCGCAGTACTCCAGGACACTGCTGGGGGTAGAGCATCAGCCTCCACATCGGCAGCACTTGGAAGGCCAGACCAGTCGCTAGGGAAAGGGAATGCGCGCACTCAGTTCCTGTCAACCGTGCCAGCCGAAGCCCTAATGCGCAGCTTAGTCGTAGGGATGAAAAATACACGATATCCAACCATTATACAGTCACAAGCACAGGTATAACTCACCCTCAGGACCTCATCAGTCTTCGCACACACATGTGCAGGCTTGAGGTGAGCATGCGCAGATCCAAACGTGTATATGTGTGCACTTACCTCTTTTTCTACATAAGTGCAGTTAGGGCAAAAACGTGGGCAAGCATAAACACGCTGAGGGCCCTGTTGTGGATTGCAAAGCAAATGGATCAAAAAGGAAACATTCACAATAAGATTTGTTACGAGATAAGGGTTGATGTCTCTTTGGGTATTATGATGGCTATATTCAATAACGAAAATAATAGTAATCAATGCGTTTAATACAGCGACTTATCGCATATTTCACACGTATCAAACCGCTTCACAGAATATATCGCAGAATGAAATAATTGTATATTTTGTTGTAGAAATACTGTTTGCAAGACCATCTTTCGCCTTTTTTTGATGCAATTATCTGGGAAATTTTCAATCTGGTACGTTCCTTACGATTGTTTCAAATTTTGAGTTTTTGGGTTAATCGTGGCTCTCAATTGCGCATCGCAGTGTCCCACGGACAATCGTGCATTGAATACAATTATCATTATCAATGTTAAGGCACTATAAACCCCAGAAAACAATCCCCCGATCGACTGAAAAGCCGATTCCTTCTTACTGCCAGGTAGACAGAGGCTCACTTGTGCGTGGAGGAAGGAAATCTCCTAATATAAAACCATGTCGACGAAATTAACCTGGATACTCTCGCTTGCGAGGTGAGAGCTCCAACCGCAAAGTAACTCTGGGATCATCATAAACAATGGAGATCTCCCTGATTCCACCACTCCTCTCACTAATGGAGGTCGAGCTGCTCTCCTCAAATCAATCAACGAGAAGTCCTTTAGTTTAACAGTTGGAGAGAGTAACCGTGAGAGAGACTGAGAGATAGAGGGTGTGTGAGAGAGACAGACTAAGAGAGAGACAGACTGACAGTGAGAGACTGAGATAGAGAGAGAGAAAGAGAAAGAAAGAGGGATATACAGAGGGAATCGATGTGTGTGTGAGAGACAGCGTCTGATCGGGACGGCGATGGGGAGAGAGAGATAGAGAGACTGCGTGAGAAGTATGTGTGTATGAGAAAGTGTGACTGATAGAGAGTGACACTGATTTAGAGTCACCGAGAGAGACAGAGAGAGAGAGAGAGAGAGAGAGTCACACTTAGAGAGACAGGTGCATCATAAGGGACAGGAATTTTGTTCAATATCCAAGCAGAGAGAAAGGTTGTGTCTGTTTTCTTCATACACAAAATCGGTTCTGATTACACTGCATTAAATAGGAACACTGGTGCTAGTCGATTTGTGAATGAATTCAGCACAAACAAACATACAGGAAACGAGCAGTTAGTGAAGGCGTCACCGAGAATATAATTGTAACTACACCATTAGCGGCGCTCGACAAACGTTACCAATCTTTTATCAGAATTCAGCTTATTTCTGGTTGCATTTCAACCAGAAATTTTGACGTGAGAGTTGAGAATGAAGCAGAATTTCATTGCAAATTATATTGTTTCGAATACAATAATATCACTCTTATGTAAGTAGGCTATGAGTCTTTCTCTCTTAGTCACTCTCTCAGTCTGTCCAACAAAATACGGAGTCAATGCAATTGATAATATATGCTCAGTCATTCTCTCAGTCATTCTCTCGCTCACTCTCTCATTCCTCTTGTGCTGATTATTATCTTCCCCGGTGTTTGGCCTGAAAGCGACATATCACAGAGTCCACAGGGCGTGACAGGGAATGAAAATGGGAAAGTGTCCATGGAATTAGTTTCCAGTGGCTTATATAACCCGAGGGTCCGAGTACAGTAGCACATCAATCTGTCAGCCACTGTGACGGCACAGATATTGAAGACCCGCCTCCAACACACTGAATAATAATAATAATATTAATCCTTTCATTTGATATAGCGTCTCATCACACTTCGAGACGTCTCAAGGCAAATCAACAAATATACTGTCAAGCGAATTGACTGTACATGTTGTGTCTTGTCAGCCAATTTTGCACAACAGTGTCGCTCTATCAGTCGTGATGACTTTTTTTTCGAAAAATATATTTTAAAGCGCGACGATCACGTGGATTTAATGTAAAAGATTTTTTAAAATTATATTTACAAAACAAAACCAATCAACTGTAACAGGTCCTGTGGCGC